TTGAATACCAGGCTCCACAGCAGATGGACACGTAGGAAGAGACAGATGTCACGGTACAAAACGCCAAGAGCTATATCTCTGTTCTTGTTTCCACATGACAGACGAGAAGTGAAGGCAGCCTCCTTTTTGTATCTTTTAGGAATCCACTGGAAATACCAAAACACAGTCATGAACGTATGTGTGAGGTTTTCATCGTCTCAGCTTCCCAGCTGTCTGAAGCTTCTGAATAATGCCGTCATCCAGGGGCACCGTAAAGCGGTGAAAGATTAGGGAGATTGCAAGGGCCCACGGCTGTCAGGGGCCCAAAAATGTTTCAGAGTTAAATAAAAAAAAAAAAAAGTATTTTTTCTCATTTAAGACATTAAACAATATTTTAGTCTTTATGAAATGTAAATTTATTCAGAGGTCCCTACTTTATTTTGGCTAATTAATTTGACCACCCCTCCTCCCCCCCACCCCCAACGGCATAAAATGGTACAGTCCACCTGGCCGGGGGGTGGGGGTGGGGGGGGTGGGGGGGGCACGTAGCAGGCAAGGCTAGTCACGCAGCAGTCAGACAGCAGAGTGTGCCAAGCCTGCAGTAAAAATATGTCTGCAAAAACAAAGTCTGGGTCACAGAAAAGGAAAGAAAGAAAGGAGAAAGAGGACAGGGCGTCAGTATGTCACACAATTTTTCTCAAAGAAAGGTGGGTTTAGTTAGTGAGTGGTTAAGTTCAACCTGTTTGCTAGCTCTGATATCCACAGTGAGAGGAACTATGTTTCATCTAATTATGGTAAATGGGTTGTTGTTCTTGTCCCTACCAGAATCAGCAGCTGATGATATGTCAGCAACAGAGCCCTGCACTGAAGCCCTAGGCCCGCGGGTCGGCCCAGCCAACGACTGTGTAATTATCTCGGACACAGGCCGGGCCGGGCGCCTTTATTCTTAATCAAATTCATAAAAAAACTGAAACACTTGAACGCAGCAGCACCTGCCTGCTTCTCACGCACCGATAGCTCAGTTAAGGTCTGTGTGGTTTATAAATGCGCCTATGTAAACGAATTCTAAAACTGCTGATTGAAACATGTGCCCCTATTCTAATATGCCATTTTATGTCCACTTTGATATGTCAGAAACCATTCGTTTGTTCTCATGAAAACGGCAGCATTCTCTTTTTCTGTGAATAAATTCGCTCTGCAGTTTAAAAAATAGAGCATTCATTGCTGGGTTTTTTTCTAACTGCAGAGCGCATTTTCAGAGCGGCAGATTAAATTTACAAACGCTTTATTAATTGGGAACGTTAATTTAATCTGCCGCTCTGAAAATGCGCTCGCAGTTAGAAAATTAGAATGCTGCTTTTTTTTCTAATTGCACAAGAGCGCATTTTCAGAGCAGATTAAATTTACAAACGCATCCAATTAATATAGTGTTCGTAAATTTCATCTGCCGCTCGAAAAATACTCTCTGTTAGAAAAAAAGCTGCATGAATGCAGTTTCTCTTTCTTTTTTTTTTTTTTTTTTTTTTTTTTTTTTTACTGCAGAACGCTTCCCACAGATAATTAGAAGGCTGAGCATTCTATCACGCTAAAACATTATGAAAGGTTAAAAAAGAAGTCGGGCTCGGGCTCGGGTCGGACCAGAGAATCCTGAAAACCTTCTCGGACCGGGTCGCACACGGGCTCAGATTTTAGGCCCGTGCAGGGCTCTAGTCAGCAGGTGTCCCCTCACAACCCAATGAACCTCAACAAGGTGAGCAATGTAGCATGTTAGCTAGCAGCCTCATTTAAGGGGGTCTGTGGGAATCACTTAAGGCTCTCTTCTCTGTCAGTACTATTACAAAGGAATATAAAAAGGCTATTTTTGGTGATAAACACATTGTTTTTCCACATAATGATAATTATATATATATTAATCAGTAAAAATGTATAGATGGTTTTGGATGCTGGGCAGGTTGAAGTATTGTTATTTAGTCTGTTAATGTAACATAAATTACTGTGATATTATTACTGTGAAGCACCTTTTTGAAGGCACCGTACAAGAAAAAAAACCTCTTCATCTACTAAATACCTTGAAATGAAATGTTTTGAATCTGACTGAATTATGGGAGGTTTTACAAGACGTAATTTGTTTATGTAGCTTTTTAATTATATCACTGTAAATAATAAATTTTGCTGTGTACAATCAAGGCTGAATATATTTGCAGCTGTTTTTTTGTTGTTGAGAAAAATGGGGTTCTAGAGACTTATATACGTATTCATCCAAAGTTGTCCAACTTTAAAATTTTATGTAAACCTAACTGACTCTGGATTGATGTGCTTATTCATTTTGTGTCTATGATGAAGCCATGGAGACTTAATAAAGAAGTCACCTTGTGAGCAGTGAATCCTTAATTTTTGTCAGTCATACAGAAATACTTGATTTCAAGAGGAAAGACAGCTGAAAAGGAAGTTATGTAAAGCTTTGACACAACATGGAAATTTAATTAGATATCCAAATTTGAATTTTATCATCAAATAAAATCTTAGAATAAATACACAAATTTTAAGGGAGTAACAGGGAAAAGGAGATTAACACCTTTCAGCATGTGCATTTCCTGCTTTTTCCAGCAGTGATATTGCTAATTCTGTTGAAGGAAATTTACTGTTTAATGTGAGACAACTAGTGAAAATGATATGTAAATAAGTAAGAATGCATGTAGACCTACATAATTAAGCAAAACTGAAACACCAGTGTTGGGAACGTTACTTTAAAAAAGTAATTAGTTATAGTTACTGATTACTTTGTCAAAAAAGTAACTCAGTTACTAACTGAGTTACAAGATCATAAAAGTAACTAATTACCAACAAAAGTAACTACTTAGTTACTTTTTTCATTAAAGAATGCAAGAATTACTACAATAGTAAAATATAAATGACTAATGACTGAACATAATAAAATGTATGTCCAAATGTTTTATATAAACTTGAATAATTTAAACAAATAAGCACTTAACAGGAGGAACTACTAATAGGAACATTACACTAATCTAGACTATGAAAAGGTCACTGTGTGATATTTAACAAAAACCCAATCAGCTAAAATTTAAAATTGCAAATAGAAACACCTGTAAAGTTTCCCGAGCCTTTAAATGGTCTCTCAGTCTAGTTAAATTACAGAAATAAATGTAATTTTGCACAGCATTCTAATTTTTACAGCTTCACATAATTGTGTCTTTTTTAGCATTTCTGTTGCTGGTAATCTAGTAATGGTTAAATAAATAAATAAATATCCTTTAAAATGACACTAGAAGAGGCACAAGCCTGATGGAGGACTTACATTTACTAACTTGGGTCAGACCCAACCACAGAAGAGCTGAAGCTGGGCGGTAAACACACACAGGTAGTTCTAATAACACCTGAGCTCCATGACGTCTGAGACTGATGCATCAGCGTTACAGCGGGACTAAAGACATGATCAGAAACAGGTTACAGCTGGATGATCTAGGAAGGTAGAAGATCAGGACGTCTGAGCGGTGAACAGGTGAGCGGACCTTCGGGACGTCCCGCTGTCACGCTAAGGGCACGGCTGCAGACCCGCAGATTCGCTGCTGCAGCAACAAATCTGCGGGGGGTCTGCAGCCGTAGACATTCATCACGTCTTCCTCGTTCTTCACGGCCGTGATGCTCTTAAACATCTGCCTCTTTAGCTCCTGATCAGCTGATGACAGCTTCAACACACCGCACTGCTTAACGCACGCATTTTCTTACCAGTAACAGGAACAACGTTTTGATAAAAGAAGACGTAATTAATTAGTTTGCTTGTTACAGAAAGACATATTTTTTTATTAACGCGGTTATTTTAAATGGAGTTATTCCCGTTGTGTCTACAGAATGCAGTGACTGAGACCGTGAGGGTCTCCGCCCACCCGGCCAATCATCATCGTGTTTGTAAGTGTGTTACCGACATCTCTCTCTCCCTGGCTGCAGCTGAAGTGTGGCGGTCGGAAAGCCTCACACTGCTGCTCAACGTTCGACAAGCACATAGTAACGCACAGCGTTCCGTCCCCAGTAACGGTAACGGCGTTGCAACGGCGGGAAAAGTAATTAATTAGATTATTCCGTTACCTATAAAAGAACGCCGTTAGAAACGCCGTTATACTTAAACGGTGTTACTCCCAACACTGTGAAACACTAATATAAAGTATACATATTATATTTTTTCTCCCTTCAAATCTGGGAGGGTGGAACCCCAGCTCCAGCTATGGACGAGCCCCCAGGGGGCCCAACTTGATATTTTTCATGGGGCCCAAAATCTCTGGCAGCCCCCCTGCCGCCATCAGTGTTCTGTGGCAAAAGAGTCCAAAACATACATGAAGGTGGCAAAAGATGAGAAATCAACAGCTTGCATCAGTCCAGATGTGGAGGTAAAGCTAGTAGCTGAGGCCTAGTCCACACGTAGCCGGGTTTTTTTTTTAAACGAATATCTGCCCCTCCAAAAACTTGCATCCACACCACCTCGTTTAAAAAAAAACTCTGTCCACACGTACCCCGATAAATATGTTAAGGACATGCCAGACCTGTAGGCGGCAGTACTTCCCCCGTTCTTAACCTCATCCTTCGTCTGTGGTCTTCCGCAAGGAGCAGTAATTCCGCTTGCAAAAACAAACAAGCAAAAAGCGCTTGGACAATTGATAAAGCGAGCGCAGCTCTGAGGGCATCCATGCTGTCGGCTAGTGTAAACACAGGTCGCACACGTGATGTCAGCATTTTTTTGTCGTGGAAAGTGACGTTGCGGACCTAAAAACTCCGGTTTTGTCTGTCCACACGCAGACACCCAAAACTTTGGCCGGAGTTTTTAAAAAGATCAGTTTTCGTGTGAAAAAACTGTTTTCGTGTGGATGACAGGCCAAAACGTAGACAAATATCTACGTTTTGGCAGATCCCCGGCTACGTGTGGACAGGGCCTAAGACTAAAGTGAATGTTTACCAGAAAGCTGATGAGGATGAAAGCTTAAGCACATCAGTGTGAGAGTCCATCTTACCTGTGATGCACTATGTAGGTGATGATGGAGGCGAAGAGGCAGAGCAACATGACAGCTGTGCAGGCATACACGACCGGATGCAGAAACTCCCCAGGGTACGGGGGGAAAGACAGCCCCTTCTTCAGATCCTGCAGGTGTGACGGAGACAAAAGGGACCTTAAATACAAAAAATGGTTATCATGAAGTGTCACCGTGTTTCTAATAGTCAGAATAATATCCACAATAAGAAAAACACAAATCTATGTTGAAACATTGTCTGAATTACTGGTCAGAGAAACCATCTTCTAAGGTCTCCAGGCCTTTCTGAGCATTTAGGTGCAGCAACAATACTGCAAGCATAAAAAGAACCACAAAGTGAATAAAAGTCTAGGAAAACGAAAACATGAAGCTATGTGATAATGTTGTATAGCGACTTTCAGAGTCAGGGGATTCAAAGCACTTTGCACTACAAAGTATCATTCACCCATTCACACACTGGTGGTGATGAGCTACGACGTAGCCACAGATGCCTTGGGGCGCACGGACAGAGGCGAGGCTGCCGAGCACAGGCGCCAGCGGTCTCTCCACCACCAGCAGGAAAGGTGGGTTAAGTGTCTTGCCCAAGGACACAACAGCTATTTAATTGGCTTTCTAGCACAGAAGTAATTTTGGTAACTTGTTAGTCTGTTATCAACACCAGTCTCAGATCATTTCTCAGCCTCTGTAGAATAAATGGTGACCGTCACACCTAGAGCCTGAGGGTCTGCTAAGTGCAGGAGCAGGTGGACCATCAGTCAGGAGTGATGTTATCATTTAGGCTTCATCAAGCTGATGAACAAGCAACAAGGAGGAGCTCATCTCCATGACCACACCATCTCAGTGTGACGTTGTGATCCAAACTTGCTGTCTGGCTCTATCATCGTCTCAGACAGCAGCCCAGCAGGATGTTTGTCTGGCTGGTAAGTCTGGACCTGTGAGCGATCTTGGCCTTATAAAAAACATGCAGGTTTAAGCAGCTTTTCAGAGTTTTCATTCAATGTTTTCCACAACAGAATGACAGTAAAATTACCAGTAAAAGTTTTTAGATCTATTTATGTTTGTTTTAAATTAATTTTCCACTGAAATCAGCATCTCATTGAAAAAATATCCATATTTGTTGCTATTTATTTCATAATTCAGAAACAATTTTTTTTTTAAACATAACATGTCTCTTCTAATTTTAGGTGAAAAATAAACATCAGATTTAATCTGTAAAAAATTCAGATCTAATCTAATAACGGTTTTTTAGAGTTACTTTTTGGCTCAGATGTCTGAAAATAAGTGATGAAAGCTTCCATTTATTCTCATTATTTCTTCACTGTGCTTTAAGGGCTCAGCATGTAGCAGGTATCTGAAACCGCAGCACCATGTCTGTGTTACGCCTGTGACACACCGGCCGCGGAAGCGCCGCGAAGCGCTGCGAAAATGGGACCGCCTTCATTCGGCGCCCTTGTTAAGCTATTCTATAGACCACATGGACCGCCGAAGCGCAGCGAATCGCCTCGCGCCGGCGCTCCAGCCCGCGCCGTGCAGCGATCATTTCGGTGTCGGCTCTATTTTTTTCGCGAGCCGCGGTGAATCGCGTCAATTCTGGCAGGAAGTCAAACCTAGACATAAGAGGCAGGCCAGTAAAGTTAACAAAATAAAGCATTTCAAAATAAAATTCCGCAATAGTCAAATGTGTTCGTAATCAGACACTGCAGAAAAAACACACGAACACGCACACACATACACACACATCGAACTTGTGTGCGTGTGTGACCGCGTGAAGGGGGGTGTGGTTTTGGGTGTCTTTTCACCGGAGCAAACAGGACAGAGAGGCAGAAAGTCTGAGGCAAGCAGTTAAGATGGATGACTTTAAATTAATTATGGAAGTTGAGAAACACAAGGAGCTGTACGACCCCCGAAAAACATGATTGTTTACGTACCCATTTAGGAAGAAACTGCTAGGATACAGCTGCAGATTTGGAGCGGGTTCCAAGAGATTCAACTGGCAGAAACTGATACCATAGGTTCACACACACACACACACACACACACACACACACACACACACACACACACACACACACACACACACACACACACACACACACACACACACACACACACACACACACACACACACACACTCAAACGTAGAGGAAAAGAGCTGAGAAGATGCAGAAAGGAAATGGAGGACACCAAGTGTTTAAAAGAAAATCTACAGCTGAGCCGAGGCGCGCCTCGACTGGGGCGTGTCTGATCTGAACTGAGGAGCGGCGAGCAGCGGCCGAATTTCATGAGCGATTCGCTTCTCGGCGCTTCGCGGCGCTTCCGCGGCCGGTGTGTCCCCGGCTTTTGAACCTCCATTGTGTTTATCATGGACCTGTCTAATTACTGGAAAACCTGCTTTTGACCTCTTCATATCAGACTCCGCACTGAGACATGAAGAATGACTCAGAAACAACAAGAATACCTCTGAACACATTTAATTCACAAGTTTACTGCATTTTCTCCTCCGTACTTGCTCACGCTTGTTTTGGTGGTTTGGGTGCGCTCCACACACATTCCAGATCTGCGATAAAGGCCCACCTCCATTTGATTGACAGCAACAGGCAGATTTCTCCACAGTTTCTTCAGTCAGATTGAAACTTGAAACGGGAAACTGTCAATAATGCAGGACATCAGTCTCAATTTGCGCGACACGTGAAAAGTAATGAAAATGCGGGACTGTCCCGCACAAAGCAGGACATCTGGTCACCCTAGCCTTAAGTGAGCATTAAAAGCCTGCCTGACTAACAGTAGTAGCGTTGGAAGGCAGGACACTGGAATGACGACTTAGTGCCCTAGACCTGGATTCAAACCACCCACCTTGGGGCTTCCAGTCCTACACAGATGTTCCTGTACACGATGCCAGTCACTTGGTTGTGGTGTTCCATGTCCGCTTTCCCTGCCAGCATCTTACACCCTGCAGTTATGGTGGACTGTCTCAGGGGCCTCTTTGCATAGCCTACACCTTGGGTCTTGTCTGTTGTGGTAGATCTTGGTCTCTGTTGCTCTGGTGTTCAGGGCCTGTTCCTGTGCAGCCACGATGAGTCTCTGTGCTGTCCTTCAGACCAGCTCTTTCTAGACATTGGTAGGAGTTCTTGATGTCAACCGCTTCAGTTATCTGTCGGTGGTACATCCCATGTAGGGGCTTGTCCTCCCACCATGGTATTTCCTCTCCTCTGTTCGCCATTGTCTGAGACATATACTGAGCATGCCATCTATTAGGGCCTTGTCCTTGATGTACTTATGGATCTTGGATGTTTCATCTTGGACAGTGGCTCTCACACACTCTCTTCCTTACAGCTAGTGTACAGTCTCAGGGTGCTGGATTTGGGATGGAACCGTCCATGCATGGTTAGGAGCTTCTGTATCTTAATATCTGCAGCCTGTATTTCTTCCTTTGACCTGGTGGTGTGGATCAGTGAGTCGATGTCTCTCTCGCTCTTGGCGTACAGTTCAATGTCATCTATGTAGAGCAGGTGCTGCTTGTGGTTCCATTCTTGAGTCGGTATCTGTAGCCAGCCTTGTTGATTATTTGGCTGAAGGGGTTCAGACCTATGCAGAACAGCAGTGAGGACAGGGCGTCTCCTTGGTATATATCACATTTGATGGAGACTTGTGCAATTGGCCTCAAGGGTGGATTCCCTCAGCCCCATTGAGTTTGCAATGAAGGCTCTCGGAGTCCTGTTGATGTTGTACATCTTCAAGCATTCAATGATCCATGAGTGCAGCATTGAGTCATAGGCTTTCTTGTAATCAATCCAGGCCGTACACAGGGTGGTGTGCCAGGTCTATTGGAAGCTGGTATTTGGCTCCTTTGGTATCCCTGCCAATGTCCTTCAGTGCTGTGCTCATGTATAGGTTCATGTGCCCACGTATGTTAGTCGCTATGATAAGTAAGTAAAGTAAATTTTATGATAACACGGTACAATAAGGGTCATTTTATTAATGTTAGTGCATCTTCAAGCATTGATAAACCATTACATAAAGTGTTAACCCTTCTACTGCAGTTGTGTCGGCGCCGGAGCAAAATGGCTTCCATATTTTTAACTACTGTGACTTTTCAACCGTTTACACAATCAACAAAATTCCAACGGATTCTGAACGCTGAGGCTCTACACTTTCCAGTGGTATACAACACATTACGGTAATTAGCGATGGGTACCGAATTCGGTACTTTTTAAGGTACCGACCAAATTCCACAGTACCGACTGAGCACCGATTCACGTCATTTGAAATGGTGCCTCGTTTCGGTACCCGTCCTTCATAACGAGAACTTGCCTAGACAGCTGTGCATGCGCAAGAGCGTTATGTCATTGGTCGCGCGAGCCAGTTGTAAACAGAGCAGCATGGTAGAAAGAACGCACGCTAAAGCTTGGGTCCATTTCACTAAATGTGATGGGTAACTGGGTGAAGATGAAACCAGCAACAACGTTCAAAGTGAGACATCCTCAACTTAATCTGCTCCAGTAGGTAAAGAAAATGTCTAAGATAATGTTAGCTTGATATGTTAGCTTCCGTTTCGCTAATGGTGCGTTCGCTTTCTCCTCGGAACTCCGAATTTCCGACTAGAAGAACATGAACGCGCTCTAAAGTTTGGCTTCACTTTACTAAATGCGATTGGTGATTGGGTCAAGATGAAACCAGTGACAACGATCTAAGTGTGAGGCATCATCATTTTAATCTGCTCCAGCAGCTAAATAAACTGTTTAAGATAACATTAGCTTGATATGTTAGCTTCCATTGCCACCGTTGTTATCAGCTAATGGTGCGTTCGCTTTCTCCTCGGAAATTCTAACCTCCCAGTAGGAAAAATCTAATGAGAAAGGACGGCAAAAGGAATGAAGATACACAGTAAATTTAGTTCACAGTAAAGATGTTTGCTTCAGTTTAATTATCAGCTTATAAAACTACAAGGACGATGTTAAAATACAAACAGTTGTATGTTATTTATCGTGATATTTATCAAATATAGTTATATATGGAGAAAAATATATATTTTATTATAAAAGAGAATTAAAATATTAAACACTCAAAAGTGTCTAAAATTGGTACCGTTAAGTACCGGTATCGATTCGCA